TGCGGAAGGCACTTTCCCGTAAGTATTCGTTCCTCAGTCGGATAATTATTTTTTGCAAACGGATAGGGTTTCGGAGTTTTTGCGCGCGCGCTCGTATTTTTTGCGTCGCTCGTATCCATGGTTTCAGCGGCGCCAACAGCCATTAGCTTTTGGATCCTGCTAAACAATACAATATAAATTCTATTTCGCTGAAGATTATCTCCAATCTTTCTGGTGACCAATCCGCAACTCAGGCAGTGGATGATATTCGGACTGTTTGTTATGCGATGGCCGTCACAAGGTTGGGATGGGCTTCATAGTTTATGGAGTTACCAGCATTGATTTCACAGGCATCCACAGTTGGATAAGCTCGATCTGGAGTATCCGTGGCAAGTCTCTGAACTTGCCATTCTCTGGAACCAGCCTGCAGCTTAGAAGTTTGGTGGTGTGCGAGACGACTCAGCCTCAGGAGATTCTTTTGTCCTCGTGGAATTCTTTTGATGCATGTATTTTGGTGATTTGCTCCGACAAAGGCCTTCTTTATGAGCCTCGTGCCAAATTGATGTCAAATGCTGCCTTTTCATCTCGCAAACGGACAGTGTTCCTCTTCGGTGTGTCAGATGGCTGAAGATACAACTTTCCACCTACAGCCCACTGTTGCCTCCATTTTTTGGCCTTGCCCGCCTGCAGACACCGTGGTGCGGATGCCTGGGAAAAAAGGAGAGGAAGTCTTTGCAATGCAACCAATTTCCAAGATCGTACTGCAGGACGTTTGTGAGTATCGTATCTGTGATATGGACATGGAGCCATATCTTGTTAGACAACTCTTACATGTGGTGTCATTTTCTTGCTTTTGCCTTTTTAGACCAACCCGACTTTCTGACTTTCTGCCATTCCCAACAATCTCTGGGGCTGGGAGTGGTACAGCTTGAAAACCGGAATTCATCCAGGAACCCTGGGTGCTGTCCGGAACCTTGAGTGCTGCATGGGCTGGGAGTGGCATGCAGTCTGTTTACAGGGTGCTGCATGGGCTGGGAGTGGCATGCAGTCTGTTTACAGGGTGCTGCCTGGGCTGGGAGTGGCGCGCAGTCTGTTTACAGGGCTAGAAAGCCGGAATTCCATGGTGGAACCCTGGGCTGTCTGGAACCTTGGGTTCTGCCTGGGCTGGGAGTGGCGCGCAGTCTGTTTACAGGGCTTGAAAG